CACCATTCACCACCCACCACCCATCATCCACCATCCACCATCCACCATCAACTCCACCCACCCACCCCTCTAGCCATACTTCGTGACGGACGCATCGCGTAACGCCGATCGAGTCTCAATGGCTCTGGCTCAAATTGATTAAGCTGATTATCACTCGCGCGCCACCACTACCTCATCATTTGCTTTTCCAGCATCAAACAAGCGCGTGCTATCGCCGTCTGTATTTCAGTCAATAATGCACGTCATGTAATTAACATTTTTCTTAATCGACGAATAAATATTATTCATAAATATCTCGGCGAGTAACGGCATCACGGGTTTCCCAAGCAAATATCGTTGATTGTCTGGCTCGCGAAGGCTCGTCACATTACATTATTCCAAACGATTAATAAAGCATCAACGATAAATAAACATTATACCGGGATAATAATACAAGATTTGGAAAGGTTAGGTGTCTCGAGACTCTCTGAGCTTTATAATTACTTGGAATAAGTCAGCAAACATAGTCAACCTCACTTGTACGTCCTACAAATTATAATACTTTGTTGTTGTTGTTTTTTTTTTTTTTTTTTTTTTTTTTTTTTTTTTTTTTTTTACGTCAATCCATCAACATAAGAAACTACTGTAGATAAAGTTGGAGAAATCTCGAATTGACAGGAAAACGAAACCTGTTTTTCATTCGTAATAAATATTTCACATGCAAATTACTAATGGCTGAACATTCACACCCGTATGTAAATGCGAATATAATGTGCGCTCAACGATAATGTTTTCTTATTAAAGATAAATAATTTTTTGTATCGGCATTTGGCAAGATACTTTGCAAATAAGCAAGCATGAATGAAAAAAATTGCCTATTGGCATTTGTAATGAACATTTTCATTAATGAAATTTTTATCAAATGGAGAGAAAATGTGTTCCGTCGTTATGTTCTAACGCGACGAATAAATGATTAATATAAAAGTTGAGTTTTTTTTTAATTTTTTTCTTTCATTTTTAAATGAATTTTAATTGAGCGGACGGATCGAATTGGCAGAATTTCCGTATAATTTTTATAGTTTTAAATTATTTTTAATACCCAGCCAATAGGATAATGAATTTTCCTCTTCTCACCCCTCGACGGGCCATAATAATTATTTATATTATTTAATAGTAATTTAAATGGATTATCGTCGGCTTATTGGACTTATTCGATTATAACACGATAGTATAAAATATAAAAAGTAAATCGTACGACTGCGCGCAAGAGGATAAATTACGAAAATAAATGAGTACGGTATGGCCCTCTTCCAATGGCAATGCCCTCGTTGGTATTGAAAGCCACGGGCTTGCAGCGACGACACTGTCTTCGCAAGTTCGTTACTCGCGAAAAGACTAAACAAATAGATGGCTAACATCTTTGGAGGGGAAAAGAGCGAGAGAGAGAGAGAGAGAGAGAGAGAGAGAGAGCGAGAGCGAGAGAGAGAGGAGAGAGATTAAAAGCAGATGGTCCAGAGAGACGTAGGGTGGATGATAACGTCAAGGATGAGACGGCGAAAACGACGACGACGAAGTTGACGAGAGATATTAATTGGTTGATTGGTATAGATATAGGCGTTGGTGATTGATGGATCGATTCATTGGTTTTATTAACTTTTGCAGTTATCGAGACGCTGATGGCTCGACGATGCACAAACAATAATTTTCGCCTTTTTTTTGTTTTTTTTGGTCTTCTCGCGCGAGCCATTTGTATCGATTATTTTATTTAGGGTTAATATTATTTTTTGTTTGTTTTTTTTGTTTTTGTTTTGAATATTTATTGGATGAATAATCTTATTGTTCGTACTTTGAAAGTTATAAAGTGAGTTTGGCAGGAGGGAATAATCGATACACTTTATTTATCGGTGCGAAGAAACTCGCTAGTAATTTAAAACTTGTATTCTCGCAATTTTCGAATGCATATCGTTTTTTCCTATCTAAGTTAGAAATTACTTTGTGTATAGCGAGTAACAATTATACGATAGCATATTAAAAGTATCGAACGGATAAAATCAGTATTAGTGGGTGCGCTTAATGACGTCGTCGCTTAAATTCGCAGTATAAAGGAAGCGAATGAGAGAATAGCCATCATCGAATAGTAATCTTCCCTCCTGCACCCTCGTCGTCCCCTTCAACCGTAATGTAAATATAACACGAATCGTGATTAAGTACCATCGAATTTCGTATAAAAAAAAAAAAAAAAAAAAAAAAAAAAAAAAAAAAAAAAAAAAAAAGAACAAGATAAAGTATAAATATTCCAATCAGGGCGTAAATCTAATCAATCTAACGGCCAAGGCGATAGCCATAATTAATCCAAGTCATGTCACAATGGCAGCATCATAATGGCATAATCCAAGCAGACACGTATGGCCAATACTCATATAGCGAAATGTGCTGATGCTTAAGGGAGGGAGGAAGAGAATGGATAGGTTAAGGAGCACAACGTGCACGCGTATACACAACTTGGCAATAAGGGTGGAGGGGGTCGACGAGATTCAAGACGTAAAGGCAGCGTGGAGAAGGGTAGGAGTCGGTATAACTCGGGCGCGAAGCTAACCGAACGGAAGTGGCGAACTAGGAAGTGCGCGAAACTCTCGAAACTTGGACGTAATTACTAGCGTAAAGGGCCATGTAAAACCCCTACCCCCCTTTCTGTCACAGTTCTGCCCCTCGCCGTAGTTATCGCGCGGCTGAGGATGAAGAGGCCGAGTGATTTCGTGGGCTCGCTTCTCTCTCCCCCCCCCTCACCCCCCGCCCCCAACAAAATTGCTGTTGCTTCCTCCACAGCGGCAACCGACTAATCAGCTGCCGGTTTCATCTGCACCCGATAATGTCAGCCATTGCCTATTCCCGCGCACTCCATTTACTGATAACAAGAGGAGTAGGGGCGAGGACGGGTTAGGAGATGACGTTGGCGTTGGCGATGGCGGCGGAGACGGTGGCGACGGCAGCAAAGACGTTAGAGTCCGATTGCGCGCGAGTTCAAGCCGAAACTACACAAATGCAGACACGAGCAAAATCTTCGCAGATAAGTATACCGAGAAAGATAAGAAATATATGTACTTGCTCATTTGGGAGCTTCCGTAGTCTGCTTACCGAGTTTCGATAAGGTAATGAGATACTTTACGGTACGGGCGCTAATACTGCCGCGTTCACATCATATCCGATGATAATATACCTTTAACATGACATTCTGGAGCAAAAAGCAAATTACAGATAACCGTTTACGTCCAAAAACTTACGTATCTGTAATTTTCACCGAATAATAATGCCGAGTAATTCGCGTAATTGATAAGGCTCGATGAGGCCAGTAGTAGCGTTAAGTGAATCGTAACGGCTCCAATCGTCCAAAGATTAAAAAAATTCTTCGGTCAAAACCCGGGGCTACTCGAAGCCTGCAATTTTCAGTTAAACAAATAAATGGTACGCTCGTAACGTGTAGAAGGGAAAAAAAAGAGAAAGAAAAGGGGAAAAAAAAAGAAGAAGCTGATTCGTTAGATTGGAACGTCCGTCCCTGTGTCTCGAATTGCTTATCAGCGCCCCCCAAACCCCGTCCCGCTGGCCCCATTCGCCCCTACGTCATTCCAAGAAAAGAAAAAGCGCCGATGAAGCACGACTGGCTCGTCCCGGGTGGCGTTTCCATTTTCCAATGTTGCGAGGCTGGGCATTATCTGCCACAGGCACGCTCGGTCGCCGTAAATGCCCATGCACATGCACATCTCGTGAGACTGAGGCGAGCGCTGGCGGGTGGGAGGATGACGGAAGCAGCAAGCCACCTCAATCTGTGCTCCTTGAAGCGAGTGCCGACTGGCGATCGATCGGGTCCGCTCACGAGCCATTATCATTAATCAAGTGCCACCGTTCGCGAGGCACAGGTGTATATGGAAACTCCATACGGGATAGCAGATGAGCTCGAGCGCCAATACCCGATATCATCCTTCTTTTTTCTCCTCCCGACTGCGCGCATCGTTCCGAGTGCGAAAGAGCGCGAGCGACAGGCTGGCAGCGGGGCAGTAGCAGGGAGAGGTGGAGGCGGGGGGAAGCGATCGGGAGCTATGTTGAGAGGGAAAAGAAACAGCGAGGTTGATGGATGAGCTCTTTTATCCACGGAGATTTCGAGCTTCACTACCTGCCGGATTGCCTATTTACCGACATTTACCGATACGCGTATGCTAAAATACGATACAGTGGAATAAAGATAAATAGATAGATAGACAGGCAGAGAGAGAGAGAGAGAGAGAGAGAGAGAGAGAGAGAGAGAGAGAGATGGCTTACATGCTCAAGTGCGTTGGTATGCAAAGTTGGTTATATTATAAAAATGATGATAGGGAATTTACTCGTGATGGAGGTACAGCGATAACGCGCAGTCATTTATTGGATATTCTGAATTGAGGGGGCTGCCCGAGAAATTGTAAAATTTATTAGATTTGAGGTAATGAGGACAGGTTGAACGACAAGTTTGATTTATTTAACGGAATAGATACAGCAATCAGATCTTTCTGATAGAATTTCAAGATGCAAACAACAATATTCAGCTTTTCATGTTGTATTTCATCATTATAAATAAAACCTTGTGAATAGATAAACGTATGCATTGAAATATTTTACGGGTGCAATTGACAGCATTTATCTCGATTATTTTGAAATTATTAGATTATAATATCTCATGTATGAATTAAGTATTTGTATTAAAATTATCTTTTCTCATATCTTAACGGCCTCGCTATTATGATTAAAAAAAAAAAATTTTTTAAAAATCCAAATACATTCGTGTACATATTGAAAATTGATATTTTATTATATTTTGTTTGTTTGTGTGTGTGTGTGTGTGTGTGTGTGTGTGTGTGTGTATGTGTGTGTGCGTGCTTGTGCGTGTGTGTAATATACGAGAAAGTAATATTATTGAATAAAATTATTCATACTCACTTAAAATTTTCGTGCGCTTTTAAGATATAGTCTCCGTAATATTTGAAAACACTCACCTGAAACTAAAGAGAGAGACGTAATATAGATTATTTTATATATTATGAATAAACTTTTAATATTTATTTTATACGCATAAACATAAAATACTTAATGCTAATACATAATTACAATGAAATATTTTTATTAATTTAGCCAATGCTATAGACATAGACGTATAGACAAGCATATTTTGTCGACTCAATTAAAAATAAATAAAATGGAAAGGGTTAACTAATGGTGGGAAAAGCAAGGAATAAAAGAAAAAACGTCGATCAACCGTTAATCAGATATCGGTATAAAATCATTAATTATCGCCTGCGCCTGATAATTACGATTTGAGACTTATTGTATTAATTGTATTGTCCCTTGGTCAAGTCGCGTCTTTCATCATTCAATGACAATCTTCTTCTTCTTCTTCTTCTTCTTCTTCTTCTTCTTCTTCTTCTTCTTCTTCTTCTTCTTCTTCTTCTTCTTCTTCTTCTTCTTCTTCTTCTTCTTCTTCTTCTTCTTCTTCTTCTTCTTCTTCTTCTTCTTCTTCTTCTTCTTCTTCTTCTTCTTCTAGAGAGAGAGAGAGAGAGAGAGAGAGAGAGAGAGAGGCAGAGACAGAGACAGAGAGAGACAGAGACAGAGAGAGAGAGAGAGAGAGAGAGAAAGAGTGAGAGAGAGTTGCAATAATCTGAAACGAATTACTCGTTCCATAAGCCTCTAACTAACGGCGAGGATAAGGTAAATCGATAAAAACGGCAGGATTTAGGAAAAAATTCCAATCCGTCAGTCATAAGCAGCGTGTACCATCAACTTGTCCAGACATTCCCATACAATATTTAAATCACCCGAGTACTCCCTCTCTTGTTTACTAGCTGATAATTTTTAGTACCGTAGTTGCGCGCTCGTCATTAATTTCTCGCTTCGCCATTACTTAAGCTTGCCGTTTGACATTTTGGACACTTTAATCATCATACCGGCGCCTCCTCGAGAATCGTTGTATCTAAAATTTAATTACTACTTTTCTGATTTCTAACGCTCCGCTGGTTATTAACCGGTTGTTCGTACATTTTCCGATAGCTGTTGCTACAATGAACAACGGCGAGTAAACTCAAGGAATCTGTCCTTGAATCGTGAAGATTTAACGGCGCGTACCACCGGCAAATGAAACTTCTTTTCCTGGGATCCTATATTTTTTTAATTCTCCAGATTTTTGCAGAATTTCTCTATAAGTATAAGTGTGCACGCGTCAGTTGAATAAGAGAAAATTCGGTGTTTGAAAATTAATTATCCATAGTTACACAAGTCGCTGGACGTGTGGCTAAAGTTTGAAACGAACTTTACGCAGCCTGTTATTATTACATTTGCAAATGACGTTTAAATTTAAAGTAATAGAGCGAGATGGGCAATTTAAGACGACGAAATTACTGCATTTCTAACAACATTAATGTTATAATAGCACCGTACAATACAGTTAAAGGCACTGCGTAAGATTACAGCCAATGGGCTGTAATAAAATGCTCCCAATGCGCACTCTCGTAAACAATTCTTTTCCTAATTACATTACTAACCCTATTATTCACTTTAAAGGACTTTGAAGCTACTTGTCCAAGACCATCTTATAGCATTGGACTGGATGTAGGTCCTAAGCAACGCTCCGCTGCTTCCTACAATTTGAAAATGCTATTCGCCATATTGTCGCTCGACTTACGTCCGAGATTGGATCCTCGGATATTAACTAAGCGGAGCTTTGTACGTATCCTCTCCCCCCTCCCCCCCCCCCATGCATCAAAACTTGGCTGAAAAGTGTTCAAAAACAGACAAAATCGAGTTTCACAACAACAAAAAGTGAAGAAGAAAAAAAGAATTGTAAGAAAGAAAAAATGGAAAAAAAAATTAGAAAAAAAAATTGGAAAAAAAAAATTGAAATAGAATTGAAAAGAAGAGGGGTGGGGGTGGGTGGGTAGGGGTAGGAGGAAGAGGCAGGAAAAAATTCGGCCACGGGGCAGGAGGAAAAAAATAAACGCGAGCCAAGCCAGGGGGGCTACTAGTCAAGTCAGCCATATTCGCCGGCGCGGGCAGACAGCGAAAATATTCATCCCCCGAGGATCGATCGAGCTGGCGAGCGCGGAGGTGGCACGTGAAATATGCGGGGCCGTTATGTGCGGCCGACGGCGAGGATCCCCGCGTGCCTGGCCTACCTTCGCGCAGAGCCCGACGAAATCATTAGCGAGCAAAAGTGCGCGAGCGAGGTCGAATTAGTTTCCCGGCTTGATTGGTTTTGAAATCTCCCAAGTCGATTGCCGACGGAGATCCCGAGACAGAGATATCGTGCTATTTTCGAGTGGGCTAAGCGCGCTAAAATGCTTGCTATATGCATCGACTGTTTATTGGTAGGAGACTTTGCGAGCGTTTATAAAAAGGACCCATCGATCGATCCTTCGTAATTAAATTTCAAAGTTATTAGGCAGGTATTTGCATGAAATAGTTGCTGCCGTCGCGAGCTCGCCTACGCTTGAGAAAAAAAGAATGTTGCTCGATTTTAAAAAAGGGAGGGTGTGAGGGAAGGAGAGTGGTGGTCGTTGTCGCGTTAGGACAGAGAGAGAGAGAGAGAGAGAGAGAGAGAGAGCGCACAGCTCACAAGGGTTTCAATTAATTTTCATAGGAATAGTCGGGGGGTGTAAGAGCGCAACCGAGTTAATAGCCAGCCAACTCAAATTATTTAATCGAATGCGAATGACAACTTTTTCTCTTCTCATTCTCTCTCTCTCTCTCTCTCTCTCTCTCTCTCTCGTACGATAAATCGTTTCACAGGAAAGGGGAAAAAAGGTTGTTACGTTGCGCATTGTACGCTTATGTTTTATGCATTGTACATGACCGTCGCTTACGTCCCACGTAACTAATCACGGCGCCTCTAATACAAATGCACGCAAATATTATGCTTTGGAAATTCTGATAATGTCATTCTCAAGCGCGTGCACGTATGCAAAATTATCACCAAGTTTTTAACATAATTCATCCAGCAGCCATAAACGCGAGAACGCATAGGGCAACTTCAGCAGCCGAGACTTCAGGAAACAATCGGCGCATCATGAGCACGAGGTCGTCCGTGGAAACGAGGGACGAAACGGCGTTTGGCGATTATATGTCGATGGGCGCGTTGAGCTGCGGTCGAGGCTCCTTGAAATAATTCCTCAACAAGTTCGCATCGTCGCGAGTGCCGGATGCATAAAGAGGATTTGGGCAAAGTTTAGCGGGGGCTATCCGGAGGCGATCTAAACGCTCGGCCGAGTCCCGGGGCTCTCCTTCATCATCTCTCCCACGAGGAGGCTGGCTCGACGAGAGGTCCGCTAAATTCGTGCGCCTGGATAAAAGCTTCTCTCTCTCTCTCTCTCTCTCTCTTTGGCTCTCGAGAAAGCCAAGTCCTATATATCTGCGATCGACGAATCTTTAATTCCGAGTCTATTCCGACTGGGTTGAGCGAGAGTCGGCACGTGAGGCACAGTCCTCGGCGAGCTCCTGGCCATTCGTGCTCGTGACTCTTCTTTTTGCACAATCTTCCTCTCGCTCTATTTCTCTCTATTCCCTCGACTCGCGTACTTTTTCTTTCTTGCGCCGGATGCCTAACTTTCATTTCCCTCATTCACGATGAGAATCAATTCGGCCATCCCATTATTAATAATTACAACTTATCCCTCGATAAGTCGGAGCACACTTTTAATTCCCAACGGATATATCGGGATTCCTCGTACCTATTTCACTTATTTCAAGCCGAGCGGTTAAGCGATCGGTGTTTATTCTGAAAAATTCGTTTGCTTGGCTAATAAAATATTTGCACAATAGAGGATTGTCCTAAGATAATTCGTAGCTCGAGTCTCGAGACTGAAAATAATAACGAAATTACGTGTGATTTAAATGTCGCTTAAAAGTCAATATAGTCAATGCAAGGAATCTTGAATGATTTAACGATCGTTTGTTTCTCTCGCGATATAAAATTTACTTTTGCTACAATCATTTACACGCAACGCTTTACATTTAACCGACTTTTACAACTTTTTCCCACAAACTTTATATATTCGCATTATGCTCAGGCGAATACACTTTTGAAAATTAAGTTCATAATATGCGCCCGTTCCAACGTGTACGTATAACGTGAACGCTCGCACACTCACACACACGCAAGCACGCACGCACGCACGCACGCACGCACGCACGCACGTACGCGCGCACGCACGAGAATGTCTTTTGCAAAGAAGCTTTCGAGTCAATGGTACTTGTATACTATGTACATATATACATATAATAATTGAAAAACTAAAAAAAATTATTTTCGAGAGGGTATTGGTTGGTGCTTGAATTCGTCTCTTCCCGTAACCAAATATATGTACTCTTTCTTCTTGTCAAGCATCCCATCATGTGTTACAAATCTTTTTTTAAAGCCAATCGATTATTACGATAAATGTCGCAAAGGAGTTGCTTAAAACTACCGGCTCTCGCGAAATTTTTCTTCGTCCCTTTCATTTGTATATTCACGATAAAAAACAATAAAACAGAATATAACCTTAACAAATATAACCTCGTAACATAGAACTAAAGCACCCGAGAAAAGAAGAAGACTAACACTTGGCCAATGAAAAGCCTTTAAAGCCCAACACCCACTCGTGCACACCCTCGATCGCATAACGTGGATAACTAAGTGTCGTATATCTGTACTGCGCAAACAAAGCATATTCGGCTTGATTCTCAGGGACCGAAAACAAAAACAAAAACAAAAACAAAAACAAAAACAAAAACAAAAACAAAAACAAATAAACAAAAACAAAGAAACCAATATACGTATCGCAAAATTTCGAGCGACATCTCTTCGCAGCGGTGGGCGCCGATTGTGATCCTCGAGATTTTCGCATCGACCGGTTTATGCACGAGCAGCACCATCGACGCGCACACGTTCGTGTGCACTTTCGCGTGACGAGAGATGTTTGCCAGCGCATGACGAAAGGCTCGACGACGATCGTATCAGTGCTTCGCTCCACATCTA